TTATCTTTATTTATGTGCTTGTCTGCCCACATGCGCCCCGGCCTTGGCCGCAATGGGCCGCGGGTCATCACACTGAGTCCCCCCCGCTCCAGCCGGTCAGAAAGTTCTGTGTCCCGCCCCCAGTCCCCAGACCTGCCCCAGTCCCCGAGCACAAGCCCCTGCCCATCACCTGAGCCCGCCCCGAATCGAACGGGGCCTCGCATGTCCACCCCCAACTCGCTCGCTCCGAGCAGTGAGCCCCCGCCGGCAGCTCTCAATAAGACGCAGACACTCCCCACCAAGCCCAAAGTTGTGCCGAAGCCCCTGCAAGCCACACTATCAAACCCGCTCCCCGGAACCTCAGATCCGGCGTCCGCCGCCAAGTCCGAGCCCTCGACTCCCTGCCAGCTGGCGGCGCACCCGCCCTCTGCCTCTGTGCCCCCGACCCCGACATCCCCTTCCTCGCCGTCCTCGCCCTTCTCCCCGTCCTCCATCTCCAGTGCCGCGTTCCCAAACAGCCCCCAGGTGCGGCGCTGCCACTTTGCCGCCGGCCCCCAACTCTCAGTGCCCTTCAATGGGCCGGTGCCGCTGTCGCCCATCCGGCTGCACCACTTCCACCCCGTGGTGCCGGCGGCTTCTGCATTCACTGACCACCCGCCCAAATCTATCCCGCTCATACAGGTCACCCCTCACCCCTCCCCTCGAGGCAGCCCCCTCCCCACCCCCAAGGGCACCCCGGTGCACACTCCCAAGGACAGCCCGGCCGGGACCCCCACCCCCACGCCGCCCCCCAGCCCTTCCATCGGAGGCATGCCTTGGAGGACACGCCTCAACTCCATCAAAAACAGCTTCCTGGGCTCGCCGCGCTTCCACCGCAGGAAACTTCAAGGTAATGGCTTTTTCAGCAGGTGTAACATTTCCTACGGCGAACGTTAAATTGTGTATTAAAGTGTCATTTTCCCTCCTTGAGACCTGAGTGGTCTGCTGGCGATCTTTCTTTGATTTTTCCTCTGAACTCTAACCTTGCCTACACAGTTCCCACACAAGAGGAAATGTCCAGCCTCACACCAGAGTCTTCCCCCGAGTGAGTAGATACTACACCACCACTACCATGACTATGCATGAGCTGCCAGCCACGTGATAGCGGGATGATTTGGAAAGTATTACGTCCATGAAAGTTTGATTTTTGGCTGCTGAGTTTCCTGTAATGACCTCAGGTCCGGGCTGGAGAAGCAGCACCGTGGCAGGAGGTACTGGGTTGGTTATAGGGTAGCCTGTGTGATGTGGTTGAACTCCCGGGGGCCTGATAACTCAAGGTTGGCCTAGATATGCCTGTTTGGTTCGCTGGCTCCCTGGCTTGGCCGTTTCCACCTGGCTGAGAAGAACATCCCAGCTGGAAAGGATCGTTTAAACAGGCAGTCGCACACCAGCTGTTCCCACATCCAAAACTGCAGGACAACGTGGCCCTTAATGTAGCTGTGGTAACGTTATAGAAGTACGGGGGAGTAGAGTAGGCTCTCCATCAACATCCTCAAGAATTCCGTAAAATGTTAATATGCCACAAAGCAGGAGTCCATATGGCTTATTAGTGGGTGCAAGCACACTTGGGCCAGTTGTGAATTAATCTCCTTCCACCCTTCTGGACCTAGAGTTCCGTTAGACACATAGAGGCTCAATTATCTCTTTCCCATACATACATTGACAGAAACTCAGTTGAGGATGGAGAGGATTAATTTTCTTAAAACGCATTCCCACTGCGCATTATTTCCATTGAGGGTATCCTTGTTTCCTTTATAAGAGAGATTATCATCGTTCTTAGTTAGTCGGATGGATTTTTTAATGAGTGGAAGGCCAACGCTCTCTAGCAGGCACAAATATATGATGTAAATGTATTAATGTCCTGTCTTCTACCTACAGACTTGCCAAGAAATCCTGGTTTGGTAACTTCATCAACCTGGAGAAAGAGGAGCAGATATTCATTGTCATCAAAGACAAGCCTCTCAGCTCCATCAAGGCCGACATTGTTCAAGCCTTTCTCTCGGTACGTACTCAAGAGTGTCTTGTTTAACTCCTCACTTCATCCGTGCCTCCACTCCCATCGGATCCTTGCGCCCCGACTCTTCTTTGGAAATCTGAATATGCATGCATGCAAAAAGTATTCTGCATCTGCTGTGTGTCGCAGGACGTTGCCTTTTTCAATGCTCTCTGAGTGTTTGCTAACACGCTTCTGATTCATGTAGCAATTCAGTAAACTGCTTGTGGTCAGTGTTTCTATTTTCTCTCTGACTGGAGACTCTGTTGGAGGTCAATAGAAAATCAACTGAGAGCATTGATCATTAGCATATAGATGCTCTCCTCTCGATACCATTTATTGAGCATGTGTGTGTATATTTAGATGTGCAGTGTGAGGAATTGAGAGATAGTGTGAATTGTATCTTTGTGTGTGGGGCACCTGCGGATGTGGATTTATAAATACATGCAGGTAACACCTGGCCCCCCCAGTAAGCGCGGCAGCACCTTTATCAACAAACGGCCAGCAGTAGTAGTTAATATCCAGTGTACATCATTGAACAAAACCGATCCTCACCCCAGGTAAATTTAACAAAGTCTCGGTAAATGCAAACGCTGCCAGTGCAGGTCAATGTTAAATCAGTTTCCCCATCTGTAGCTCTTTTCCCCCCCCTTTGGGTTTTAAGTAGCCGGTATTCCAGACAGGAGATTGGCACCTGAATCAGTAGAATTATACCTCTCAGCACATTCATATTAATGGAATGGCAAACCCTCTCCCGCACTTTGGCGTAACGTGACTATTCAGAGCTCACCTGTTCATTGGGCATACAAATTCATTTCTGGTGCAATGTTGTTGGATGACTCCTGCATTGCATCGGCTTAAATCTCCCTTGTATGTATGGCTACTCTCAGAGGCATTAATCTCCCTAGAGCTTCAACTGTGGTTGGGTATTATGTGGAGGG